CTGGAAACTCAAGACATACTTATAGTTGCCATATAAAGTTGCTCTCTGAAGTTGAGGAGCACAGGACATCTTCAGAGAAGGTCCCTCGTGCTCTCCAAGGCTTCAGATTTTCTGACCCCCCCCCCCTCCCTCCTCGTAAAGCATTTCCCTGGTAAAAATTGGCGACAAGAGCTGCGTTTCAAAATACCATTGGAATTCTTATAGCCGGCTAAAGAAGGCTACAGAAAATCATATAGCTGGCTGTAGAATGCAGAGAAAATCATACGGCCGGGCTATACGAAGCGATAAAAAATTATGCAGCCTGGCTATAGTTCCTGTCGCCGGGCTTTACACTTCATCGCCTGGCTGTTGCTTTTTCGCCATCGATTATAATAGGCTATAAGAAATTGTGTAGAAATTCGTGTGCTTTGGAAATCATTAAGTTTGATACGGAATACCACCTTAATATTTACAAAACACACATTACGTTTTCCTTTAATACATATTTTTTTTCATCAATTAAAAGGAGAACAATCCATACAGGATGTGCAAAAATTTCAAAATCATGAGTTGAATAACGCTGACTCCGCCAGATTAAATATTAGAGCCTAACACAAAGCGGAGCGGCGGCGCACCGGCGCCTACAAACCTAACAGGGATACTTCACGCATTGCGCAACGCGTGAAGTATCCCTGTTAGGTTTGTAGGCGCCAGACGCGCCGCAGCGTGCCACGGCGCTTGAAGCAACTATTTCACACCAGAGGTATTCCACAGTATCATACGAAACTGAAGGCGCTCTAATATATTAGGAATGGCAGGCATCCATCAAAAGTACGGAGCTTTCCTCGCAAAATAAATCAAGATACCACGGCCCAAAAAGAGAGCAGTAGTCCAAAAACTCACTAAGTCCTAGCATCCATAATTAGTAACGTTTAGCATACACTATATCGCCTGGCTGTTGCTTAATCGCCATCGGCTATAAAAGGCTATGAGAAATTGTGTAGCCGGCTATAGAAGCTATTGGAAATCTTACAGCCGGCTGTAGGTCAATGGTATTTTGGAACACAGATTCTACTGCCAATTTTTACCAGGGTTCGACGGTGTTAGTCGGCAATAACATATAGGTAGGTTTGCGACGTCACATACTTCCTGTCATACTTCATTTTTTAAACGGAAAACTACTCAACGACAGTTCTTTAAAACTGCGCCGTGATTTTTCTTCTCTGTGCGAAGATAATTAAATTTTGCAAAAACTTCAAGGAATGATGTCAATTTGTACTCCTTTAAAAAAATAACAAAGAGGCGAAGATTTTCAGACACCGCAAACGAGTTATGTGATTGCCGACTTACACCGTCGATTTATGTTGTAGGCACCTACCTTTTCACCAGTAAAAGTTATAAAATGGTATAACACTCGAGCCTCGACCTTCCCCCTTCTCCGGAGCGTCATATATTTTATGAACGGACCCCACGCTACAGCGTAATATTTTACTTAATGTGACAATGAGCAATTTTCCTTGAAAAGAACATTGTTTGAAAACTTTGTTTGCGCGGCTTAAAATTCTGAGTCAAAGATGCTGTTCCCCCCTCTAAAAAATTCTCCACTAGCACAGCACGGGGCACGAGACACGACAAAAACACAGACAGATCTGAGATTAATTTTGCACTTTCCCGCGAAGAATTTTGTTCTTCAATGGGTGCCCGCTAGGGAGCGAGATTTTTTTAATCCGTAAATCCGTTTGGTCGAAGGCTGACGACATAATCTACCGTGCTAAGTAAGAGCGCCGTGCCGTGAATCCATTAAGATTTTTCTTCGTTTTTTGGAACTTAACGCTTTATAAAATTAAAACTGTTTTACCCGTGCACCTCAAATTTTCCGGTTAAGTTCTTGATAGTATTTGCGAAAGAATTCTGTAAAAACATTGTCCCAAAGTACACAATTTTTTCTGCTATGATACATTGTTTCCAAGAATGTAAAACGGTGTTAACCTACGGCGTTTTTGCGTTGCAATGTGGTCTGATTTGTTCAAAAAACCTTTCACTGGCAGGGCCGGATTAAGGGGGTGGCCACATGGGCCGCGGCCTATGTTGGCAAATTTGGGGGGCGGCAAATTTTTCAATTTTTTCAAATGTAGGTAGGTATAAAAAAAAATCGGATTCAGAAAAAAAATTTTCAATAAGAAAAGGAAACAAAATATCTTTTTCCTAAGAGTATAGTCATTTCTAATTTGGTCGTTTTTCGGCGATACAAGAGACAGTATCTTTAATTAGTCGAGATAAGAGAGGAACTAAACACGCAATTCGGCCTGCTGGAGTCCAGCGCAGAGAGGAATGATGACGAGGACTTGAGATGAAAAGGACAAGCCCTCGGCGGCGCGGCGCGGCGGTCGGCATGTAACACATATTAGCGCCTACAAGACTGCATGAATACTTCACGCACCGCGTCAAAAACAGTGCGGTCAGTACAGGAGCGGTTGGCGTGAAACGCATAGCGCCTACAAGACTGCAGGAATACTTCATGCATTGCGCCAAACACAGTGTGATCAGCGCGGCGCAGCGGCGGAAGTTAAAGTTATTAAACCACGCATTTATGTTTGTTCTTTCATAATTTTTTGGTTCATTTCTTATAAATGGAGGAACTTGCCCACACAGAGATAGGTTTACGGAACTTAACTTTCGCGTCAAGTTCCGTGGAATTTTGCAACTTTTTGAAATGTATCCAACACGAGCAGGTAAACGCGTCTTATGCACCCCTCCCCCTCCGGCACGTTCATTTGATGGTTTTTATTGATGTTTCAAAACGAATGAGAGGAGGGCGGCAAGTAGGTAAATCCGGCCCTGTACACTGGTGGGTTCGTTATATTTTCCACCGCGTACCTATTGATTACGGTCGTGAACCGTTGAAGAAAAATTTTCCTGTTCTATTCCCCAAGTCCGCCCATTCCTGGAGTTTTCCCTGACATTTCCGCGTCCCTTAAAATTTGCCCAATTTTCCAAATGTGTATACATTCTGATTAACGTACCATTGATCTGATCATTGTGATTTACGAATATTTCCCTTCCAAGTCAATCTTTGTTCAGTATTTTCATAAAATTGTAGGGTCTCTGGTAATTCTTTATCAATACCTAAGCGAAATATTAACCACATTAATTGGTCGCACTCACGTCTCTTTTTCAATTTGAATAAATACCTACGCAAAGCTCCCTATTTTTGTGCAACGGCGACTTACGAAATGCAATAAGTGCCGAATTTTACTATCACAAGCTGAAACAATTGAAGGAGCTCCGGCGTTTTCAATGACTCGGTTCGGATGCAACTATTCGTGTTCGCTGGATGTCCGTGTTGCATACATAACAATTGCAGGCGCTTTGGCCCCTTTAGGCACAACGTGAGAAAGCGGTTGTTAATGGAGATGATGAATGTGTGAGGAATTTGCGATTTGACTGTTGATTCTCATGTAAAAGTTCGCAAGAAACACGATGGTGCCTCTGGTTTTCTCTAAAATTAACTCCCAAGCTCAAAAAGAAAAAGCAAATACATTGACAGGGCTGCCACTTTATTTGGGGACTCCAAAACTGAAAACACGGCAACCCTGCTGATGTATTTGTTCCCTATCTTCGCATGGAGAGTTTGTCTTGATGTAGAGGTAGACTCTCAGGATAGCGTGGGATATCCCCTCCATTTAGACCTCAACTTGAGAGCTTTTTTTAAGCTTGGGAGTTAATTTTAGAGGAAACCAGAGGCACCATCGTGTTTCTCGCGAACTGTTACATACCTAAGAATCAACAGTCAAATCGCACATTATCCTCACGCATGCAACATCTCCATTGTAAATGTTGACGAAAATCATTCAACGAAAATATTCCCACCGAGGCTTTGCAAGTGTCAACCCTGCAAATTACGATTGATGAAATCTCCGCAATTTGTGCCCAGAATGATTAGTGATCAGAATTTCTATCAGAAAGCATGCTAAACAACACTGAAAAGTCCCCCCCCCCCCCCCCCCGAGGGGTGGGCTCCTTGGATGTCAGGTCGGGCAGCCCTCGAGGAGGTTGGGCTCCTTGGATCACGAGGGGGGCAGCCCCGGAGGTTTGGGTCACTTGGATGTCAGGTGGGGCAGCTGACGGTAGGTTGGGCTCGTTGGATGCCAAGTGGGGCACCCCTCAATCGGGGTTGGACTTCTTGGATGCCAGGTGAGCCTCCCCAGAGGCTGGGCTAATTAATGCCAGGTGGGGCATCCCCGGAGGTTTTTCTCCCTAAACATATTACAAATCACATTGCCGAAATTTGTATCCTGTTGCCTTGGCCAATGATTTGCCGTCAATTACCCAGGTATGCAAAATGACTGTCGTGACGCACGAATAGTGGTATCAGAATTTTGCATTAACATTACGGAGCGGGTTGAAGGCGCTTTTCCGTATCCTATTTGAGTGGCCTCGCACGATGATGTTGACCAAGAATGTTCAGAATTATGGAGTCTTCAATCCATCTGTAATTTTGGAAAATGTCCGAAGGTTACTATTTTGATTATTAAATAATAATATTTTTTTTTGTCCGCAAGTCTTCTTTGAAAAAAGAGAGCCGAAAAGCTCGGTTCAGATCGTGGTTTTTGAGTCTTCTTGCTTTGGCCATCGTATTCTCATGTCAAAATGAGAGAGTCGCCATTCACAAGATCGCAACTTACTCAAAAGCAGTTGTGATTTCAATAGGTAAGTTTTGCACGGATAAAATGAGCTTTCGTGGATGAACTGGACTGTGAATAATCAAAATTAACAACTGGAAAAACAGAAAGAAACTCTACCGAAAACAAGTCAAGACAAAAATTGAATCTGACTCCAAAGAAAAGATAGGCTGTTCTTACCAAATTATTTCATACATAGAGCGTGGAATTATAGAAACTTTTTGGAGACAGAGAATTCCTGGAAGGATAAGCAAGCTAGAAATATCATCCGCTAAATGCAATACTACTAGAAAAAGTGGAGGAAAAAATGAATGGGCGTTGAATGACAGAAACTAAACCTTAAAGAAAACTTGACTTCTTTATTTTGAAAAATTAGGTATTTACAAAATTCAACAATTTCCAGTTTTGTTGCTATCTAGGCAATAACAGATTTTACAGTAATTACAAAAGACATCATGATTTGAAATAAACATTGATGTAAAGAACAGATAATACTAACACCGGTTGATGGTAACAAAATTTAAGAAGAAAAAGTGTACAGTTTGCAAAAGAGATTTAAAGAGATCACTCTAGACACTTATTTTACACTAGATCTCTCTTGGTGTTCTTCTCAAAAAGGCGATTAGTTAATAATCTTGGCAAGAATAATCTTCTTGCCTCTGGAGGAGTCAAAATATTTTTTCATTAATCAGAAGAATTGATTTTTAAAATTACTGCGACATTTCACAATCAATAAAGTTTTCTTAATTTCTGTGTCGTACTTTTACTAATTTCTCACATACCTAGGTATTCCTTGTATTTTTTTGGGCATGAGGCTGGAATTTACAAGGATTTCTCCAACTGAATTTCAGAGATGAAATTCAGATCTTCTGAGACTGAAAGATACTCAAGCATATTACTGCTATAGGTTCTGCGATTCATAAATGGATATGGTTACGCAAGCAGTCATGCCTACATTGCAGGGTTTCAAAATCTCATCTCCTACATTAATTTTTTGGAAGGAAACCAACCAACATCCCCACTCGACAAATTTTGTAATTTTTCTTGCCCATTTGAAAGATATTTTCATGAAATTATCAGAAAAATCAAGACAGGAGATGAGAATTTGAAACAATGCCATGTAGATGTGACTGTTTTGCTGAATTATCTACAAATGCTAGAGGTGAAATTCATGACCAGTCAAATGGGCAACACATTTTTCTACATCAGCGGTGAAATTTCCAAACCACATACCTCTGTTTGCGACGTTGAAGACTTCCTGTAATACTTCATTTGTTTAATAGAAAACTACACAACGTCAATGCTTGAAAACTTCCAAGATTTCTTCTCTTTGCGAGAAGAAAATTCTGTGAAAACATCAAGAAATGATGTTGATTTGTTCTCCTTCAAAGAAATAAAATGGGAGCGGTATTTTTAAAATAATGCAAACGAGATACTTAGTTTGGAAGGCTTCACTGTTGAAATGAAATGCAGATGGAAATGAATGTACAAGTTTTTGAATTTGGAAAGAGGGAAAAATACTCTTTTGCAAATCCTTCCTCCTTGCAAAAAGCAAAAATAGGGTTTTTGAAACAGAGAAGAACAAACCGTATATTTTAAAAACACACATTCATGGAACTATTCAGACAGACAGAATAATGCCCACTTTACGAAACCTTGCACCGAGAAACCGTAGAATAAAATTATTTTAGAGTCCAATTTAAACGGTCAAAATTTTTGTTCAATTTATATAAGATGGAAAGCTGGACCATGCAATAATGACAAGAGAACATGACAGTTGGATTAAAAGTAGAACGGAAACTTACATCAGACATCAACTTCATCTTCCATCCACAGAATGGAAACTTGAATCAGACATCAACTTCATCTTCAATCCACTTAGCGCCGAAAATTGGTTGTTATGTGGATATCGCATGGCAATGGTTACCTATTGAATAAAATGTTCCTGTGTCAAACATTCCATTAAACTTTTTGCTCGCTTTTGTTGGATTAGAGTTCACACTGGGCTTAGGACACAAAAGAAAAAATTCTTTTGGTGAATTTTAAAGAAGAGTTTTCTTTTCAGATGAAGATATGATTATACAAGAAAGTTAACTTTAAAATAGACGTGGTTACTTTTAACTACTAAGAAATCTATGCATAACATCACAGCCAAATCAAATAGTCTAGATCTTAATAGTTAAGCTTGATAGCTTTCCTGGTTCATTATAGATTAGGGAGGTGTACATAACTACATACATACATTAAGAAACCAAAATATTTGACACAAAAAATGCCATAATATATGAGCTCTGTGGAGATCTACTCTTCTACTAAAATCACTGAAAACTAATTTTTTTTAATGCATTCCTAACTTTATTTTTGATGCATCTTTAAACGTTTTATCTTTTCAAAAACATTGGAGGGATTGCAAAGTTTTGCTGCGAAAAAAACTTTTTCCTTTTTTTAAAAAGTTTTTTTTCAAAAAACCTGACATTCAGTGATTTTTGTAACATCAACGCATTGCTCTGAGAATTGCCTGAATGTAAAAAGTCTCCTGTGGTTCCGTAATATTCTTCCTGAAAACAAGAGACAAAATTCATTAATAAAAAGTGAAATTAATTCTGATGCTCAGGAAAATTATCACTCAGCCTACTAAAATTACTATAGAGCAGGAATTTTATTTGTCTTATGAAATTAGTAGTTGAATGAGGTTGAATTGGTGGGAATATACTAACAATGACTTTTTTCCACAATTACAATTAACTCAAAGATAAACTATCCTATTATAATAATGACTGAGGTGTTGTGTCAAGAGTTTGAATTTCCGGTAAAAAGGCAGAGAATATTTTACAAATCAAAGAAATGATTTATTTAAGAAAAAATAAAACAACACTGGACCTGAAAGAATGTTTTGACTATGATAAAAGTTCACTCGCACACCTATCGTAAAAAGTCCGAACACTCTCTTGATAGGCTCATGCTGCTCAATTACACAACCCAGGAGACAATGCCCAGGAGGCGTTCAGACCTCTTAAGATAGGAAAAGATTTTTTTGATAGAATTAAAGTCCGTTCAAGAATAGGTGGATTCTATACTATACGGGTATTTCCCCATGCCTGGGAACACTAATTATAGAAGAAGTCTGTTGGGAAATCTTATTTCATTCATTGAAGGCTTCTTCAAATAATGTAGATGGTATACAAAACACAAGAGGAAGATTTCAGCAATGGACAAAAACTAAATTTAGAAACGGAAACATCTAAAATCACTCTTAATAAGAACAACTATAAAATTTGAACTAAATACAAACTGAGAGGTTGTACGCACTTACCATTTTGATCTTGGGTAAAATTTTAAAACTAAAGACTAGTATTATTCTGTTAACAATTAGCCGAAAAGAGAGTTCTTTATCCTCTGTAACAAGCTCTTGGACTCTTTATCTTCACCAGCCATACTTTTTTCTTCTTTACCTGGTTGTCAAACAACAAAATGGAAAGAGTAAAGTGAGTTTGTGATGACTTCAAAATCATTATGCATAGGCCTGAGCTAAGTAATTTATTGGATTAGGTTTTACAGAAATTATTCTCTGAATGCGACCTGAAAAGGGTCTCAATCAACAGAACCAAAATGGACTACAAAACAAGATACGAAATCAAGCATCACAAATTATTTCCCTGTCTAGATTTTACAAGGAATGCAGTGGATACCTGACAACTTTTTAAATTCAACTCTTAAGTCATGCTCATGAGTGAGGGAATAACATTTTTCGTTTCAGTTAATTCAGTTTTCAGTCGAAGTGAGCACTAAACTATTTTTGGTGTATTTTACGATTAAAAATTTTCCTGTGTAATTCCTTCTTTTTTAAAGAGGATTAAGGATACCTTGCATGGACATAACAAGGGGGGGCACGGGGGCCTGGCCCTTCCCAGAATTGAAAATAGCATGATTTGCCCCCTCTCCTCGTAAATCTGGATGGTGGGAAAAAGCCTTCATCAAAGATATTGTAGGTTGAGTTTTAAATGCAAAACACAATGCTCATTCAGTTGGTATTTTCTAAAATTTGTGTCATAGGAGCCTCAAAATGCGCCCAAGCTGAGTTAATATTTCAAAAATTTTCCAAGAGGGACCCGCCAGACTCCCATCTGAACTGGGACAGGGGGTTTTCCATATTCCTAGACCCTCTAGTTGCTAGGGAAGGGGCAGCAGCAAAATAACCTAGCTACATATATGGTGCCTTGTTATAGACGAGGAAGGAAATGTAATTGAAACTAAGCTCTGGTTATTTATCTAGTGTACAGGTAGGTCGATTTCAATGCCTAATTTGGCCAAAAATTGTTTTATATACAAAATTTTAGTTACCTTTGGTGGCATCAACGCCTTGCACATGACCTGGAGTATCTTCTTCCAGCTCTGCGTATGCTTGTATCAGCGCCTTTTGTTTTTCCGTTAAAGACCCTGGTGCTTTGATTTTTATTTGCACCGTATGGTCACCGTAGCCTATGGCATCAATTTTTTTCAGACCCTTGTTTGGTAATATGATACTCTGATGTGAAGAGGTCCCAGGTTTTATCTGAAATGAAAGAGAAAAACTTACATGGCAGGTAATGAAGAAAAATGTATTGATTATTATGGTTTAAAAAAAACCTTGTTTATTTTCTTGAGTTTGGAATTTTTAATGAATCCATTTTTTATACTCATAATTTTTACAGTGATGTTCATGTAACAACCACAGTATCTTTCACATCTAAATTTTGATCCCCTGGGCACTCATTTCCTCCAAGGCAATAGAAAATTTCAAAATTTTCCTCTTTTTCTTTTTCCGGAGATGTGAAATGATAACCTGTAAAATCACGAACTTAAATTGGTTTGGAATGGTTGAGGAGGATGTTTTTTTTATTAGAAAAGATTACATTCAATGATACACTTGGACAAATGTATGCCAAAGGGAGCTACGTAAAAATTAATAAATTAAAGGGAACTATGTAAGTTCCTTTGCAAAACATATTGACAGTGAAACTACCAGACCACACATCTCGTTTGCAATGTTCAAAAATCTCCGTTCCTATTTTGGCTTTTTGAGGGAAGACAAATAAATGTTATTCCTTGAAGTTTTCACAGAAGTTTCTTCAAGGACACAAAATCGCATGAGTTTTCAAGAATTGACGTTGAGTGGTTTTTCATTTACAAAAACAAAGTGGGACATGAAGTCTGCGATGTCACAAACCAAGGTATATGGTCTAAATGTTTCAATGAGGATATGCTTTTGCTTTAATTCATTTGCACAGAGTTCCATTTAGCATAAATACGCCCATTTATTGTTAGTCAATGGAAACTGAACGTAACCTATGGAATTCCTATTATTATTGTGAACCCAATATTTATCAGGGATGTATTTTTAGCATTCTGTGTCATAAAACAAATAGAGAGAGAATAACACAACTTCAATAAGCTTGAATAGATGATGAGCAGTTGACTTTCACATGAAAGTATAAAGGTAAACACAATACATTTTTATACATTACTTTGAAGTGCAAGTTAGCGATGTTAAATGGAATCCTCTGGGATCAGCGGATTTCCAAAGATAACAAGAGGAGGATATACAACGTTGTAGTCAAAAGTATATTAACATACGGATGTGAAGTTTGGCAGCTGAAGAAACGGACACAGGATATGCTAAGAGCAACGGAGATGGATTTCTGGAGAAGGTCAGCAGGAATTTCTAGGAGAGATCGGGTCCGTAATGATAGAGTGCGTCAGATAATGGAAGTCGAAAATGACATCGTGTTCGACGTCATGACCAAACAACTTGTTTGGTATGGTCATGTCAATAGGATGACGGAAGAGAGGCTGCCAAAAAAGATGCTTGATTGGGTTCCTCCTGGGAGGAGGCGTAGGGGACGCCCAGTGAGAGGTTGGCGACAGGGGGTGTTAAATGAGATAAGAGATTGTCAACTCCCTGATGACCTGTGGGAAGACCGAGCTTTGTGGCGATTAGGCGTCGCACAGCGCCAAAGAGCGCTATAAAAGCGACTCATATATATATATACTTTGAAGTGACCAATTTTTTTGGCAAAAAAAAGGTTTGATTCTTCCATTTCTTTTCATGTGTGACATAAAAGAAGATAAGTTCCTCAAAGAGGTCCTCTCAAGAGGAAATTTTTTAACAGAGACACAATGGAGCTCTTGCATGTGTCAGGACCTTGCGGTTTAAGTGCTGATTCCGAAGTAAAATTTCGCGAGAAACACGATGGTGCTGCTGGTTTTCTCTGAAATCAACTTGAAAGCTCAAAAAAAGCTCTCAAAGTTGAGGTTGTAATGGAGGGGATATCTAATGCTACCCTGGGAGTCCACATCTATAACAAAACAAAGAGGTTGTTCCAAAAACGCCGATTTTGGCCCCCCCCTGGATTTGGCCCAAACTTTTCTCAGATGTTGTACTAAGTGTCTCCGATGCTTGGGCAAAATTTCAGCCCCCTCGGATAATTAGGGGGGAGGGGGCAGGGGGGCAAAGTTGCAATTTTTTCAAAACTTTAAAAATCGATATCTCGCGAACGGTTTGAGTGTAAGTGTTGCGGTTTGCGCTAAAAAACGTCAAAAAATATTCTCTACAAGAATATTAATGCTGTTTGCAAGGTTGCGTAATTTATCGCGGTCATAAATAGATTTTTTCGATTTTGAAGGTTCGACTTTTTTTCGTTTTTCGTCTCTCCTCTCTTTGGAATCGTTGCTACGTGAATAAAAACCTGTTGAGGTGATTCTCCATGAAATTCTGCATCTACCACGCTTTGTTTGATCTTGGGGAAACGATTCGTTCGTGAGTTATAGCGATTTTTCTGCGCGTTATCGGTTACGCGCGGGCGGCTTATCGGCGGCGCTCCATGCCGCGCGGGCAAGGCAGAGGTTGTTTCACCCCTAGGGCCTTATATTCATGCTGTAGGCTGTAATTATCGATATTTTCTCCTCCCCCCACCCTTCCCCTGCAATAAATATTTGTTTCATACTTCGTTATACAGGGTATCCCAGACCACCCGTAACAGGTCTTTTTCTCGGTTGGTTTAGGTAGTACGAAGTGGGGGGCCGCGGAATTGAATAGGGAATTGATCCCAAGGAATCCGAATTTCATGGTCCCGATGCCCCCCTAGCCAAGCTCGGGGGGTAAAAGGGGGAGGCACAATGTCTCCCGACTTTGGGGATCGAGACCCCTTCTTCACCTCACAAGGGGGGCATGGGGGGTTTCGGGACCATGAAATTCGGATTCCTTGGGATCAATTCCCTATTCAATTCCGCGGCCCCCCACTTCGTACTACCTAAACCAACCGAGAAAAAGACCTGTTACGGGTGGTCTGGGATACCCTGTATAACGAAGTATGAAACAAATATTTATTGCAGGGGAAGGGTGGGGGGAGGAGAAAATATCGATAATTACAGCCTACAGCATGAATATAAGGCCCTAGGGGTGAAACAACCTCTGCCTTGCCCGCGCGGCATGGAGCGCCGCCGATAAGCCGCCCGCGCGTAACCGATAACGCGCAGAAAAATCGCTATAACTCACGAACGAATCGTTTCCCCAAGATCAAACAAAGCGTGGTAGATGCAGAATTTTATAGAGAATCACCTCAACAGGTTTTTATTCACGTAGCAACGATTCCAAAGAGAGGAGAGACGAAAAACGAAAAAAAGTCGAACCTTCAAAATCGAAAAAATCTATTTATGACCGCGATAAATTACGCAACCTTGCAAACAGCATTAATATTCTTGTAGAGAATATTTTTTGACGTTTTTTAGCGCAAACCGCAACACTTACACTCAAACCGTTCGCGAGATATCGATTTTTAAAGTTTTGAAAAAATTGCAACTTTGCCCCCCTGCCCCCTCCCCCCCTAATTATCCGAGGGGGCTGAAATTTTGCCCAAGCATCGAGGACACTTAGTACAACATCTGAGAAAAGTTTGGGCCAAATCCAGGGGGGGGCCAAAATCGGCGTTTTTGGAACAACCTCTTTCTGTGCTAAGATAGGGAGCAAATACATTAACAGGATTACCACTTTATTTGGGGACTCCAAAACTGAAACACAGCAACCCTATTAATATATTTGCTCCCTATCTGTGCATGGAAAGTTTGTTTATCATATAGAGGTGGACTCTCCGGGTAGCTGGGGATATCCCTTCCATTACAACCTCAACTTTGAGAGCTTTATCATGAGCTTTGGAGTTGATTTCAGAGAAAACCAGTGGCACCATCAAGTTTCTTGCGAAATATAACAAAAGTGTAAGTACTTGAACCGCAAATCCCTCGCGCATGTAAGAGCTCCATTGCTTCGAGCAAAAACAATGAAATATTGAATAATTACAAATATTGTGTGGTCTTCATAAATTCCTTCGATTCGTATTGTGCCGCCGAGGACTGCCTGAGATATGGATATTTCTGCATCTGTAAACACATTTGCTCTTTCTCGCCGGAAATATGCGGATGGGTCAACTTTAAATGTTATGAATAATTCGTTGTCATTCACTGACATTCGTACTGTCTGGCCATCTGCCACACCTAAAATGTTGAAAGAAAAAGACATACGACACAGTTGAGGTTAGAATGATGAGTTTGCCAAAAATTTATTTAAAAGAGTGAAGGACATGATTTTTTAAATACTTTTGGCTCCTAATCTTACTGGACTCTCTTCATGATAGTGTAAACATTGGAATTACTTATGAAGGCTGAAAAACTGAGTGAAAGATAAGTATTTTGATTGTCAAATTAAGGAGACATATCTGGATTGCAGGGTTTTAAAATTTTTGCACCAAATCAATTTTTTGAACAATCTTTGATGGAAAAATTTCTAAAAATATTTTTCAAACAGCAAGGAAAAGCAAACAAATTTTTGGGTAGTAAAAATGTTTAGACATCCTACAAGAAAGTAAACTAGGAGAAAAAATCTGTAACACCTTGCGATACAAGAGCAAGTTTTATAATAGTATCAAAATCTATTTTATCTTGTAATGTTGACTGAGATTCTTTGTGGCCTTAACGCTTAGGATCAAAGTATATTCTGAAGTTTCTGACATAATTTTCTGTTTTAATCTTTTCCACCGAGTGTAAACTTGTTGAGATTTATAAAAAAAGAAAAAAAAATTCAGGACGGATTTCATATGGATCTTATTTTTTGGATATGAGAGTTTTTATCATGCTCATATTTCAACTAGCCTAAACATTTTGAAAACTCCTTATATTCTCTACTTTTTTTATCATGGTACTCACATCTCTTTTTCGCCCGATGTGAATTTTCCTTTGATTTTCAAAATTAAAACACTAAGGACAATTCACATCGGGTGAAAAAGAAATGTGAGTACCATGATACAAGTGCAACCTGATAAAGAAGAAAAAACAAAATTGACTTTTTATCTTTTTATTTCAAAGAGGTGACATTTTCATATTTTTTGCACCTCTTTCCGAGCAATCACCGTTCACCTCGCGGTGATTAGATATAGAACACTTACTTAGATGGAAATGCTTACTTTTAAGACACATTTTCATAGCTTCCTCATTACTTCACACAATGTGCAGGTTGAGAACTCGACAATCTCAATTGAGACTTTTGCTTCCAGAGCCTAACCATCAATCTTTATTGCTCTAATTGTTTGAATCCTCTCCTGAAATATAGCTTTATAACAACGTAGAAAAACCAAGCTGTTTCAAACTTAACCAAACGAAGACTTATCAAAGAGGCCAGGTGCTGAAAAGTTAATTTCAAGCAAGACGCATTTTTATTCCAGAGAACCACCACAAGACAGTAGCAGTACTGATTATCTTTCAGATATTATACACACTTCTTGAGTGTTGGTAGCTTCCAGTCTTTCATGCAGTGTGCACTTGGAATATAATGCCATGCCTGACTTAATTTTCGATTTTCTGGCACTTTGTCTGTTGTTGATGTCAAGTCTCAAATTGAGAACCCACATTACGGATCACTCACCGGGTGGTACAGGTATTTTAACAATCCTTTTTGCTACAACTTTGCCTTTGCCCGCACATTCGACACATTTGAGCCCGATGAAGACACGGCTGCCTTGGCAATGCCCACATGTTTGTCGTATAACGAATGGACCTGTTGACAATATGAAGCACAGTTAAAGATTGTTACGTCTCATTGCATTGATTCAAATGTTGACTAGAGGTACAGTTAAAAATCACAATAGTTACAAAATACAGTCTTCAAATTGTTGATGCAAAATTCACCCCTTTCTCAGTAGAGAAAAATATACAACTGATAGGCCCTGTCTGTATTTTGGTATTAGCTTTGTAAGAACTGAAACTCGAAAGACCGTACGTTTCAGGTTTCGAGAAGAGAATCTTAAAATCAACTAGTGAGAACAAGATATTTATTCAGGATATAATAGGTGACTCCATGAAGTAAAATACCGAGGAAATACACTATTTTTGTGTGTGTGTAATAATGAATATTTTTTAGAGAAAAAGTAGGAGAAAAGTAACTTATGTCATCTGATTGGCTCTTCATTCCAATTCGAAAAGTTATCAGACAAACTAAAGGCTCTTGTGAAATTGAGGCATTCCATCATTTTAGCTGGTGCTACATGTGCACAGCCTAAAACATCAAATTGTCATAATTTTATTCAAAATTCCTGAAAATTGAATGCGAGGGCAACAAGAACTTTTCTTATAATTGCTGTTTCAATACCTGAAATTGGATTCCATGAACTCTTCGTCTCTTTTGCGAAGGACCTTGTCCCAACTGCATTTTTCCAGTATTTGTAACTTACGTTTTGATATTTTGTGAGAGAACCATCACATAAATTATTTGGCCATTTTCATTGAATTTCTTTATAAGTACTTTTGAGAAAAGACACTAAAATATTAAGACCGATTTGTGCTGAGTCTTCTCATGAAAAAAGAAAATGTTAAAAGAATACTGTAACAGGGCAAATGAGATACGTTCCTTTGAGAGAAGACGATGAATTGATTAGATCAAAATATTTGATGAACAGGGAATCGGGGTTCACATTTTTTCATCAATTTTAAACGCCAAGAAGAAAAAAGTAAAATTCAACACATGATGAAGTTTAAACAGGTTTCAAAAATATGCAGGGTACCCTCAAGTGCCCATGAGATTCAAAATTGATTCTCTCAGCCTCCTATTCAATTTTTTTTCCATCAACTGAGCCCTGAAGAGTCCAAATCCAGCATTCTAGGTACCTAGATCATAAAATATTTTGGAAGGAGTCACAACTATTTTTCAATTTTCAAACAACTTTCGGAACTTTAAGAGGGGGCAAAATTCATTTAACTTTTTGTTAAATTGAGACAGGTCGACTAAATATCGAACCAGAGAGAGACTTAGAAGTTTGGCTATTTTCCATATTTTAGGTATACACTTACAATTGAATTCCATGGCTTCTTGGGAATATTTTAAACATGTTAGATAGGATTTGTACTGCAAATTGTTTCAAACCACCTCTTACACTAAGAAATGTCCTCATGACCAGTGTCTGTTCCTTTACAACTTGTGAGCCTAATGTAGGACTTATAGGAGGAAGAAATAAAAAAAAATCCCTGCCTTGCATTACTCTGGGCTAAGGATGACCTGTTACGCAACTTTAACAAAGGCTGTAAGATATACATGATAAAACTAGAACAATTCTTTCGCGAGGGTTTTTTTTTTTTAAGTTCTGCTTTTATCTTTAAAAGGAGACTCACATACATTTTTGCATGATATTTTTCACAAATATTTTTTATTGGCTGGAGAGAAAATCACGTTGAACTTAAAAAATGAGAAAAAGTTAGTTTTTATGTATTAAAATAAAAAAAAGGAATTTAAAATACTTATACAGAAAGTTTGCTACGTTGTATACTGAGCAATGTTTTATTATGGAAACCTTCGTAACTTGTTAGGCTGAACAATGAAAATAAATGAACTAAGAAAAAAAAAATGAATAAACTCGATAATTGCTTAGATACATTGGATCACTCAAAACCAGATGGATTGAAAGAGTGGGATAAAATTTTCAGAAATAACAAACTACATATGCACAGAGCCGACTAAAGCGCTACAAGAGTGGCATGATAGTAGTAGTAGGGTACTACATACTTAAAAAGATAAAAACAAAACAAAAAGAAATTATCAACAGACGCCAAAAATTCAGATTTTTGAAAAATCGGGACGTTTCAAGGTCCAGACTACTTGGGGCTGTTGCGTTGTTTTCATCGTCCCATGAAATAGTTAAAATATACACACCTTTGCTCATCGTCACAGTCCCAGTGCCATCACAATAAGGGCACATCATGGGTTTGTATCCTAATTCACACTTGCTTCCTTTACACCTGGGACAGGGGTCAACTACATTCACTTTCACTTCTCTTGTACAGCCTCTAGCAGCTTGAACGAAAGATAGCTTTAGTATGATCTGTGAACAAATAAACTAAATTAAAAGAGACACATACAGGCTTTTCACAAAATTAATAAGTTGAAGCTTTGGTTTGCTCAAAATAATTTTTTTATTTTGAAGAGCATCTGATACCTCGATTATTTTTGAAAGAAACTTGTGCCATTTGAAGGTTTTCCCTAATGTTCAAAATTCTCTGGCATTTTCCTGTACCTTCTGACTGTGGTGATCCTGCAATTTGCATGAAATAAGAAAAATAATTTTTTTCTTGGGTTTATTTTCAACTGAAAACTTCATGACATGGTAGCCGCCATACCTTACTTGAATTAGAAGCTCAACCATTAACGAACTTCTTGCACACATCATGAGGTGTAGAGTAACTTTCAGATTTTGTCGGTGCGTTCACCAAGATTTTAGAGCCATTTTCTTTCGGAAAAACTCTAATTATTGCTCTTGTCACAACAGACCCATTTTTTTCTTGCATTACTGCAAAGTGTCAAAGAGCTTGTGTTTACGAGCATGGTTTCCTCATCCAGTAAAATTTCCTATTATGATTCCTGCATTATCTGTCTTCTTGGTCACCATAATCTCGAATTCAGGGTTGCCGCAAAATTTAGGAAAATGAGAATCCTTTACGTTCCTTTAACACACTTTGGTAAAATTCCCTGCCAATGGGCCTGTTGCAAACTTTTGCTGGAGTAAAATTGGATGTTTCTATCAGTAAATGGCTCAAAAATCACGGTGAACGCATTGGCAAAGTTTGAGGTGCACTCCTAACTTCACAATCTGCGTAAGAAATTTGCATTTTTTTGAGCTTCTCACGTCAAAAACGATACTGCGGCACAGGTCAACATTCTGTTAGAGAAGTCATTCCATTCAACCCTTTTGCGATTGCAATACCCAACATAGCTGACGCTTCCGCACGCAAATCGCAATCGGGAGCACAAGTTTAACCAAAACTGATCTTTATCAGTGCAGAGAAATCGTGAATATAAACACTCTGGGTTGTTAACAAATGGTTAGAATCTCGTCCAGGCACATGTGTTTTGGCAAATTGGTGTCGGCCATTTCAAATATTGTGTAGAATCCTAGTGCACAGGGGTTGGATAGAATGACACTTCTAACGAAATTTTCACCAATGTGGTATCGTTTTTGAAACGGGAGGCTCACAAAAACGCAAATTTCTTACGCAGATTGTGAAGTTAGGAGTGCATTTCAAACTTAGGTGATGCGCTCATTGTGATTTTTGATACATTTACCGATAGAAATAACTCTCATTTGTGCTCTGGCAAAAGTTTGCAACAGGCCCGTTGAAGATATGCCAGATGGTTGAAAAGACAAAATTTGAAATAGTCTTCATGCAAAATTTGTGGTTTGAAACGTCAAAATTTTTTTAGAAAGCAAATAAAGGTAACTTAACAATTTTTCTCTGACACTTCCATCATTTTTCCTGACATTTCCTGGTATTCCCTGACTTATGGGCAATCCTGTGTGAGTGAAAAAGAAAGCTTAACTATCCGGAACTAACCTCTTGAGCAGGACCAAAACCAAAATGTGACCGAGAAAAATCTTCCTCTGATACAGAGAAAGGACCTCTATCACCAAAGATTTTCCGAAATAATTCTTCCGGATCTATGGATGAGTGAAACTGCCATTCACCGTAAGTTTGGTAGGATCCCTGTCTCCCTGGTCCTTGGCTCCCCGGAGATGAGCGCCCTTGTCTATCCATTTCTTCTGAGGTCTGACCCCATGAGTCATATTGCTTCCTTTTTGTATCATCACTCAAAACCTAAAAAATTAACATACAGTATCAAGTATTGAAACAAACAAATCGATGGCGTAAGTCTGCAATCACATATCTCCTTCGTGGTGTCTGAAAAGTGAAAATCTCCGCCTCTATGTTATTTTTTTAAAGGAGAACAAATTGACATCATTCCTTGAAGTTTTGGCAGAATTTTCTTCGCACAGAGAAGAAAAATCACGGCAGTTTTAAACAATTGTCGTTGAGTAGTTTTCCGTTTAAAAAACTAAGTATGACAGGAAGTCTGCGATGTTGCAAACCAAGTTATGTGATTGCCGACTTACACGGTCGATATGTACTTAAACTGCACAAACATAAAATTGCTTTGAATCGCAGGAATTTGACTTGAATGTAAGCAAAGAAGTTCAACAAAAAATGGATGGGTTTAGGGATGTAGAAAATGCCCAATTTTGCAATCCTCAGATTGTAGTAAACATGAGCAATGTTGAAAAATGATGGAATTTTCTTCTTTCTCCCTCGATACCCCAAAAAGTGGAAAAAATGACACATTTTGAAGTAAAATGGGACATTGTGCTATTAAATCAGACATTTGGTTGGGAGACGAATTGGAAATATGACCGCGAGGCAATAATGCCAGACCACAGCAAATGATTGGCATTTTAAAACTTTTTGCATCCCTGGGATGTAAATAGGCGATAATTTATAATAATACTTTCATGAACATTTCATTGAATAATCTTAATGGCAAAAGAAATATTAGAAAAAATTTTCAAGTGATTCTGTTCATTTGTTTCTCAGGAAAAAATTGAATAAGTCTCAGGAGTTAAGCAACGGAGAGTCTAAGCACACATACCGCTGATGAAGTTGACCTAACTTCTAGCTCCATTTTCAGTTCCCTAGACTAGGAGGATTTAAGTAGAAACGCGCAAGCCAAGTTCTAGAATTTGGGAATCAATAAGAATGGGATAACTATGGCAAGGGAATTAGAATTCTCACTCGGCAAGATTGAGGGATTGCTGAGATCACCTAGCTAATTTGTCATTTTCCAGACAAAGGAACGTAACCCCATGCTAGTGGTGGCAAAATTATCTCTAACAATTCTATTATTTACAGAAATATGACGGGCAGTTTTTGTCCAAAATTTTGCTGAATATTTATCAGAATTAGAGGAAAAGGCTGTGGAATTTTCAGTCAGAAATGCAGAGAGATTTTGTAGTAAAATATAATTTACAAGTGAGCATTTTGCACCATTGGAATTTAGTTATGTTCTATCATCTGGGGAATAGCAAATCAGTTTACAAACAAACTAGGAAACAAATGACCTATGAGAACTTGGCAGAAGTCAAGTTTTCATGGGTACAAAGAAAAGCTACAAACATTATACACATGACTTTGGAATTTTAAGACAGAAGTTAAATTTTCTTGACTTTTTGGATCTAGAGGTATTCGAGTCCTCCAAACTTTTTTCAATTTTTCAAGAATTTATCATGCTGGAGAATTTCTTCTGCTTCTCATGAGTCTGCAATACTTCCTTGAAGTAAATGAGGTAAATGAGGAGGAATAAGGGTTCCCTCCATTATCAAGATATAATTAGATGGATATGACTGGAATCCATCGACTTATAACACAATCTAGACCGCGCACTAGGCCCGACTTTAGGCGGAGGAGGTAAGACAGCTAGGGGGGTAAATTAGGGTAAAGACGCGCCTTCAGCTTAGTTGATACAGCTGGATATATGAAGCATGCCAGGCAACAGCACAGGCAAGACTGACATTTCCATTGTCTCGGCACATATTGCAATCCGGGTTGCTTATCGTCTCGCTGAAATTTCCTAAAGCGCGGTCTAGATTGTATTACGCGTCAATGCTGGAATCAGCCTGACTGCTTTTCATACTGCCTAATTTTTTCTCATGCTTTATTTTTTGAACATAAAATCAAACCAAATAACACCTTTAAACTGTCTGTGAATTTACTCCAGCATTTGAAGAATACTGGTAAAAAAATTTAAATTTTCAGTGATGGTTTGTGTTCAATTTATATGATAAAGCATTACTTACAGAAAGTTGGGCAACATCTCATATAGATAGGCTGATTCTGATTACATCCATCCCATATTCCCATTGACGTACAATACAATCTAGACAGCGCATTAGGAAATTTCGGCGAGACAATAGGCAACCGGGATTGCAATACGTGCCGAGTCAATGGAAATGCCAGTCTTGTCTGTGCTGTTGCCTGGCACGCTTTGTATATCCACCTGTATCAACCAAGAGGAAGGCGCGTCTTTACCCTGATTTACCCCCGTAGTTGTCTTACCTCCCCCACCTAAAGTTGGGCCTCGTGCTCAATCTAGGTTGTGTTATAAGTCAGTGCAGATTCCCCTCAAATGATTGATGGGAAAACGAAGAGAGGTTCATTGGCGCTCTTTGAGTAACTTAGTCTACAAGTTTTAATTGCCTTTTTAATAAGGTATACTTACTTCGTAAGCCTCTGAGACTTCTTGGAACTTCTTACTTGCGTTAGGATCAGTTTTATTCTGGTCCGGATGATATTTTTTTGCCAATTGATAGTATGCTTTTTTTACTTCTTGGGGGCTGGCATTCCTCGGAATTCCAAGGATATCATAGTAATCCTTCCCCAGGAGGGATTTTGATGTGTGGAACTGATTTCTGGGGTGCTTTCCTAGTGCTGGAAACAAACATTATGATTAACTGAAGCTACAGATTAAGTTAAAGCCAATGAGCCACTAGAAGGGGAGCAAATTTAACCATTATGATACATTAATGATCAAAGTGTGAGACCAAACATCTCCGTTTGCAATGTCGCAAACTTCCTGTCATATTTTCTCTTCTCTCTAGAAAAGTACTTGGTCCGCGTAATTTCTTGAAAACTTCCTTGATTCTTTTATCAGATACATGGCAGATTATTCTGTAAAAATTTCAAGCTTTGAAATTGGCTTGATTTTCTTCATAAAAATAGGAAAGGGTAATTTTGAAACACTACGATGGAGATACCTGGTTTAGCACTTCGGCCATCGATAAGCTTTCACATCAAAATTTCTCAGTACCTAGAACTCAAGTAATGCAACAAAATTTATTAAAAATAATTTATGACACAGACATTAACATTGATACAGAGCTAAACGCACTATATCTGAATTGCTGTGGCAAGAACTAAGAATTTTTTAACTTAAGAGGAGTTACTTGATAAGCAATGCAACGGAAGGGTTTGAAACTATGAAGATTGTGGAAATTTCAAATAATAGGGTATTATTATTCTTTGCAGGTAATAGATATCACTGGGCAAAAGCCAGTTGAATAGAAATTCAAAGCACCTGCATAAAACATAGGGTCATTTGTCCTCGGTTCTTGGGACGGTCAAACTTATATGCAATTGATCACATCGATAGAATAAAAGATCTTGGCAAATTTTTACTTCTTAGCCAAAAAAAGGACGGTAAGCTCTAGAACATGAGCCTAATGAATCATTCTCAACCAAAAAAATTTGCAGACTATACAGAAATGAAAGCAGGATTATTCCTATGAAAACAACAATGCATCAACACAGTTATCAAACTTTGTGACAAATGCAACGTTTTCTCCCAAGAAGAATCCTACTTTCAATACTCAGAATTTTGAAATTCTTGGGTTGATCATGACCCTAAGGCTCACATACAGGGGATGTCGTCTTCGGTTTAGCTAGAACGTCAACATCTGTAGAGATTTGACTTAATCAATGCAATATACAGAATGCCGGTTCAACCAAGCCAGGAACTCAAAATGTAATACCTTGGAATTTTTTCTGGTACTCTATAGATACTTAATGGCGGAAACGTAGCAATAAAAATTCCATTCCTATGTCTTATGACTGAACGGGTCTCAAGTCATCCAAGAGTATCACACAGCTCGTCATGATTACGATCCTTCAATGGATTGCATAAGAAACATTTTTGCAAACCATTATGAATGTCTCAGGTGCAATTGGGCTTGATATTACTTTCGCATTCTAGGGAGAATTATTATTCACCATATTTCATAGTAAATTCTGCTAAAAAGTGGAATACAGGAGATTCATCAGGTATAACCTCAATTGCGCACACCGCACATTTCGAACCTTGATCTGATAAGATGGGAACTTCTAACCTGATCAAATAGACCTAGTTAGCAAGAATAGGGCTCTGAAAACCGATATCAATACAAAGAGTTTCAAAAGCTGTCACATAACGCGACTAAAAGGGCTTATCACTCACAATTTGAACTCCTGAGGGTGGCATCCTTTGGACGAGATGCTTGGGTCCAATACGAGTCACAAGCACATTTAGAAAGAACACTGAATGACTGTTTGCTAATTATCAAACTAGAGTTAACAATACTTGGTTTAATAACTAAAAACTTCGTTAAAATCCGAGTTACTGCCATGGCTCGGGTATCTTGCTCTTGTTATCAAATTATCAATTTTATTTACATTCGCGGGGCGCACATGTGCGATGGTCGTTGTTGATGGAAGGTGACGCAACGAGGGACGAATTCCAGAATATTCGAATTTTTAGCGGGAATTTTGAATTGACGGAGCTCCCCCAACAGGAGCGACAAGGCGCAGGGAAGAATCTCACGAGCCGCCCTGCACGACCTCGACCTGCCTTTATTCATCTAGCGTTGAGAGTCCACTTTATTACTTCACACGACCAGTGTGTAATTTTAAAAGTCAAATATTAAAAAGAAAATTTAAAAAAAAAAATAAGAATTAAAAAAAAAAAAAACTTAAAAAATGTACACGATGTACGAGTTTCTCCGCCAAGGAGCTCTCTCCGCAAGAAATGGCTCAATACCCGCCCGCGTTGGGGGCGCCGCGGCGCGGTGTGCTGCCAGAGCGAAACGCGCACAAACGCCTACAAACCTAAGGGGCTACTTCACGCATTGCGCAATGCTTGAAGTATCCCTTTAGGTTTGTAGGCGCCAGTGTGTATTTCGAGCTGGCAGCGGCAGCTCGCCGAGGCGCAGCGAGCCATAAACTTGCCCACAGTTAATAAGTCAGGGTGTTGAAATGTAGGCAATTTGACATCAAAGTCGAAATTAGCGACTCAAAAAACATCATTGATATGTATAGGGCTTAAAATCAACCTCGGAACATCCTCGTCGTCTTTTATACATTATGATGAATGGCATCAGAGGAGACAGTTTAGAACTAAATTTGTACAATTCACAATACATTCCTCAAAGTTTACCTGCATGAAACCATCCTTGTTGCTTTTTTCTCTTTTTTTTTTCTCTTAGTATCATGTGTCTTATTGAGGTTTGAGTTTTTCGCCTTAAAATACTCCGTAAACCATATTTTATTAAAATAGCGCGGAGATAGAACTTTTTTTCCTATTCTGTTTTCAACTAAAAATCCCAATCAGTGCATTAAATCAAAGGGAAACACACATAGTTCCGTTTAATTTAGTTCGTCATGCATCATCGATGCCCTGTTTGAAAATTTTTCAGGAACTATTCCTGCGGGATGGAATGAGTTTTCTCAAGACATACTTAATAACTTACATCTCAGAGTGGCTTTGTTATGAAGAATACAAATCCGTCAAAAACTGAAAATTGAATATTTGCGGCGCTGAAATACGTTCAATTGGACCGCCTGCTAATGCAGAAAGAAACCAAGCCTCCTCCAGTTATTGCCAAATTTGACCGGGAAATTTAATTTTTTATATGAAAACCATGACCAAGCAATTGGTATGGTATGGGCATGAGCAGAGAATGGCTGATACCAGGTTGCCGAAGAAGGTGTTGGAGTGGGTCCCCCCAGGTGGGCGACGGAGAGGGCGTCCATCTGAATGGTGGGTAGAGGGTAGAGGGTAGAGGGTAGAGGGTAGAGGGTATCCGTGAAGAGATGGAGAGATGCCAGCTTCCCAGCAGAACATGGCGCCAGCTTTCCCATTTACATTACGACTCTATGTACTTTATGGAAAACACTTGTGCAGATAAACATACTGCGGCTTAACATACATATATGAAAACGGTTGTGCAGATATTTGTGAAAATTTCAGTGAAATTTTTGCTTAGTGTGAAGCAAATTCCTCAAAATTTTCTAAGGAATCCGCACATACAAACTCTTGTAAAAAAAAATGTGAAAATTGGTAATAGCTGATGTGGCTTGGTTTCTTTCTGCTAAACGCGGTCTAATTAGCCTGTCGTTCTCTCTCATCTCATGGCAACATCTAAGTACTGCAGAACCTGCTCGGGAGGTGACCCCATCCGAAACTCGGATTCGTCATCGCTTTCTGATCGAGTGATCATGCCTTGCAACCGCGCAACGTTGCCGTTTCGCGAGGGGATATTCCGATTTTAACACCGATCACAATGTAAAGGAGGTGCATTTTACTGAGGGAACGGCAACGCTACATTGTGGCCCTGTGATTCGGAGAGTAAAAGTTTCCACCACTATTTTTCTTGCTTTCCCTCTCTTTCTCTCGGGAGCCGTGGGGGGGGGGGGGGGGGGGGTGAGATTCTGGATTCTGCATTTCCTCTACCAGCTTACCACGTGCAGTGTTTTCCCTGCTCGCGCGCGAAATCTACGTTTTGAGATTTGAGCGATTTTTGCGGAATTAATTTCCTCTCAGTTTTAAATTTCTTAGTTTAGTTGGCATAAACAGCTAACAGTGTTTGCAGTAACAGTAGAATAGGTCGATATTTTTTGCAAACCGCGGAAGCTCCGAGCACCGAAAGTCCACGCGACTTTCGACTTCCGAAATCGAAGATTCCGCCTCCGCAATTTTTTTTTTTCACAATTTAAAGGATCAGGGATCAGTTTTCAGAAATTCCAACTGTCTATACTTACTCAGAATTTTCAAAGGAGAATTTTTTCTTCGCCCTACAACTTGATCAATCAAACTTTTCGGTTTAGCTGCAGTTCGATTCAAATTTTTAAATTCGTCGTGATTTTTTTGTGCGCTCTCGCTAGTCATTAGAATTTGAGAAAAGCTTGAGAATTTTGTGTCTTAATATATCATATCAGAAAGTGTTTTTCAAAAGTTTCAAATTTGTGAACTTTCTGTTCTCAATTTTTTTGGATTTGGCTGTCGTTAAATCATAATTTCAAACTCGTCGTGATTTGTTTGTGTGTTCTTAATACTTTTTGGGAACTCGGAAATAGAAAGTGATTGGAGGACTGAAAGTTAATGCATGTACTTAAACCAGCTAGTGTCTGAGCTTTATGAACAACACATCTTATATTCATTCTGAAATTGAGTGAAAGTTTGCAATTTTTGAATCCAGTTGATGCTGCATGAAATGACGGACAGCTCTTTCCAAACATATTTCAAGTGTATTTGCCGCAAATTTCAGAGTACGCGAATGCAAGGATAATTAATCTCTATGTTCTTCAATTTCCTGGACCAATAAAATTAAAATTACATCAAGATATTCGGAAATTCAACGAAAATAAGTTTAAATTATAGATTCTCATTTGTTCACATACTGCCAAGTGTCATTATCGAACGAACAATTATTTTTAGAGTGGGCAGTATTTCTGAACTGAATTTGTTCCCTTTTTATTTATTTTGAGAAAGAAATATTTCATTTTCCAATATAATCGTACGTGCGCAGACTCTTCAACAAGTAGCCTAAAGGTTATTAAAATACGATTTAAAGTGGTTTCTGTTCGCGTGCTCTTGATTTTAAAAAAGAAAAATGTGCCGGATAAATTCTGCGATCCGATGATTGACAATCTGAACAGTATTGTGCATTAGAAATTCATCGTATAAAAACGAATCGGGTATGCCCAACGCCAGAGTGTCTGCACTTCCATGAAATACACTTCAAAATTCCATGAAAATATGTCAGTATTGTAAGTAGTATTATTTTTTCATTCATTAAGTAATTCAACCGTGTTTCGCAGCAAGTAATCAAGCTACTTTTGCTATTACCAAATTTAACCGGGTGATTCAATTTTTTGGAAGAGAACGTCTATGCCGATTCCGTTAAAAATTTTAAGGAATTTGCTTTGAACTCTGCAGAAAGTTCACTAAAATTTGCACAAATATCGGCACGACCGTTTTCAAGAATAAATTAAATTGCCCAATTAAATTTGGCAATTGTTGAACGTGATTTGGTTAATTTCTGCTTAACGCGGTCCAATTTATTGAAACGACAATAATTCCAACAAACTGTGCAAAAACTTCAAAATTATAAGTTCAAAACCATTTACACCGCAATTTTGTAAAATCGCGTCAAACATGGTGAGCGGTGACGGTGCGGCCCGCGGCGCGGGGCTAGCGCGTCCGGCACAGAACGCATAATAGCGCCTTACAAGACCGTAGGATACTTCGTGCATTGCGCGCGTGACGCATAGTTAGCGCCTTACAAGTCTGCACGATACTTCATGCATTGCGCGTGTACCACGGTGCGCTATCAAGTCGTTGAAAAGTCGTATTTTCTCGGTGTCGAACAGTGGCGTGGCGTGGTTTGCGATATATCGATTGTTATGCCATTTAAACCTATGGTAAAGAATCGATTATTAAGGTGTTCGCTGCGAACACCCTGTTTATCGATCCTTTTCCATAGGTTTAAATGGCATAACAATCGATATATCGCAAACCACGCCACGCCACTGGTGTCGAACCCACCCCGGTGTACACCATTTCCAATCGGTGCACACCGCGAGCTTGCAATCCTTGGATTACAGAATTGTAGAGATTTTGCAATCCTGTATTTTTGTCTGTGAAATTACAATTAACGAGTGGAAATTGCTCGAGTTGGAATGCTGTTACGTTCTATTGCCCAAACCCAGCCAACGTCCAGGGAGAGAAAGAGGACATTTTTATAAAAAATGTGGCAAAATTTCTAGGGAGGTATTCTTAATTGGTATCAAATTCAAACCGAAAAAAAGGGATGCTGATTTAACATTCTGGATGTACGAGGGGCGTTCAATAAGTAAGTATCCCCCCTCTCTAAAATCCATTAGAATGAACCAATTTTAAAAAAAACTTGGGCTCAAAATCTTCCTTAGGATATTTTGAGTTCAACGAAACAAACCGCAACAAAATCGGACCATGTCCGGCCGAACGCGAGCCGTTTGAACGCGC